AGCTGCCTATACACCCCACGATACCGCAGCTGCCTATACACCCCACGATACCGTAGCTGCCTATACACCCCGCGACACCGTAGCTGCCTATACACCCCACGATACCGCAGCTGCCTATACACCCCACGATACCGCAGCTGCCTATACACCCCGCGCTGTAGCCAACCCAAACCAAACAAACAAACTGCATGCAGATAATATCTAGCTCGGCTGTACAGACAGCTGCTGCAGCTTCGTCGAGATCACCTCCTATATCATCTACGCTTACCCTGCTTTCTTTGATTGGGGGTTTAGGGTTGAGGGTCTAGGGTTTAGGGTTTAGGGTTTAGGGTTTAGGGTTTGTGTTTGTGCTGCGAAGACGACCCCGGAGATGCGTCGCATTTATCGCCTTTAGATATTTTGGAGGCGGCACATTTGGTGGGTTTACTGTCTCAGCCGTACACACAAAGACTGAGGGTTTAGGGTTTAGGGTTTAGGGTTATTTAGGGTTTAGGGTTTAGGGTTTAGGGTTTGCTGTGGAGACAAGAAGAGAGACACCGCACGAGACGGTCTGTAGCGGCAGCTGAAGAATAACACCTTTTAAACTCAGGGTCTAGGGTTTAGGGTTTAGGGTTTAGGGTTTAGGGTTTAGGGTTTAGGGTTTAGGGTTTGTTGTTGTGTAGATAAATTATTTCGGTAGAGTGGAAAATGTTGAAGACATCCGCGTCAAGCCGATCCTCTTTCAGAAAGGGACCTCAAAGGCAAGAGTTTTTATTTTATTTTTATCTTTATTTTTATTTATTTTTTTTTTTATTTGGGGTTTAGGGTTTAGTGTTTACGGTCTATTCTTTATTTTTTATATATATATATGTGTATATAGTGTTTAGGGTTTAGGGTTTAGTGTTTATTGTTTATTTTTTATGGTTTTTTGTCTAGGGTTTAGGGTTTATTGTGTCTAGGGTTTAGGGTTTATTGTTTAGGGTTTCTTGTTTATTGCTTAGGGTTTAGGGTTTAGGGTTTAGGGGTTAGGGTTTAGGGTTTAGGGTTTAGGGTTTGCGTGCAGCTGGCAGTGTACGGCATGGGTTGGGTGA